GCAAGTGCAAAGAGGGTCTGTCCTCCCTGCACAGGGACATAGCAGGGTGGCCATAGAATCTGAGTTCCTGGGTCAGAATCCGAGCTCTATCACTTACTAGTCATTGGACTTTAAGCTACTTTGGACAAAGAGCTTAGAGGAGAGCTTGGCACAAAGTAGATTAGTGTTATTTATTGTGCAAGTTGTTTACTCACCTTTCTCCAGCTGTGGGGCAACGGAGTAGTTGAGGTCAAAGCACTCCATTTTCTTTATTTTTATATCATCTATTACAGTGTCTATGATTTGGTCTGTGCTCAGTAAATGTTTGCAGAATTAATACTAAGTATTATATAATATATTGTATTATGTGTTTTATATCTATTACATGTAATATACACATAAACTATATGGTTTATATATAATATATTAAATATATATACTACACATTATATGTTATATATCATATGTGATATAATGGATATTACATTTCTGTATATCTATGTGTCATATATATCCTGGGTATTTAATTCAATTTAGGCAATTAATTAATTATTTAATGTTAGGATTCCTGAAAGAAAAAAACACACCTAAATCTGTGTGTAGTTCCATATTTTACCAGTTATATCCAGCCAGCACTCTGCCTTAGTTGCTCAGTAATTTATCAATTATTTAAGAAATGATTTGGTAAAATTAGACGGGAAAATTAGGATTATGGTAGATACTTGTTGTTAAGTTTTATTTTTTATACATAAACATTCTTCAGGGGTAAATCGATATTGTTCAGAGATTTCTCCTACTTAAGAAGTTAATATCTGATAGTTGTGGGCAGAGCTGTGTGCAGAAATTCTTTGCGTTTCTTTCCCATGTTTCATGTGCCATGTAAAGTTGTTTCTGAGTTTAAAACAAAGTTGCTAATAATGAGATGCACATTTTCTTCTCCAATTTCTGTTCTGTTATTATATATTGATTTATGTTTTAAAGCATATTCCATGTTGTGTCTTAATTTTGATGTTTATTTATGTTCTTTTAAAAGTGATTATACTTGCATGCTAATTTCTGTTGACTTTTATTTTGAGCATGACTTATGTTTTATTTTGTGTTTCTTTTAGGTTTTGTTTTGTTTCATAAGATCCCACTGGATGGGTAGCTGAAATAAAGGAAAAGACAGAGAAAGGGGCTGTGGTGCTTGTTGGTTGGTGCTGCCTTGTAAGCTGGACTCTTGGGACTGGCACAGGCTTCTCCCAGGAAGTCTGCTTACTTGGGGTTTTCCGGTGGAGGTGGGTGGTGTTTGCAGGAGGTACTGCATGGAGCCTGCAGATCCTGAGCTGTGACTGGGAACACCGGTGCTGAGGCAGCTCACGGGCAGCTACTCGGAGATGTAAGAAAACATTTTAAATTAATGGTTCCATTTCTAATCATTCAAAGGTGGAATTGAAATGAAATCCCATTGGGTTGCGCTTCTCTTCTGAAAGATATGCTGTTTGACCTTACTGGAAATGTATTTGACTTTTATTGTGTCTGTTTATTATAGAGGAACTACAAAGTTAAAACAAACCTAAATTTAGGGAAAGGCATAAGTGCACACTAAACTATAACCTCCATGTAACTCAGATTTTAACAGCATCTTCTATTGTTTAGTCAGTACTGAACTGAGGAAGTTTTATTTTTCCATCTATACCACAGCAGCTAAAAGAGCATATACAGTATTGCTTGGGGACTTGGTGATGTCACGAGAGAGGTCTTTCCTTCACTGATAATAAAGGTCCAGAGCCATGCAATCAACGCTCATGATTTCCTTAAAGTTTCTTTTATGATTTTCTTAAAGAAAAAAAAAAAAAAGCTACTTGGTCAGGGCTGTAGAGTTAGGTTAAGCATAGACAGAATAACTAAGGGAGTGAAACATATATGCATATGGTGCATATGTCCTTTCATTTGCCCTCTGCAATCCACCTGCATTTTAGAAGTTTGTCCAGAGTTAAGGCCTCAGCAACCCATGCTGTTCCCATAACAGAACTGCAGCTTTTCTACTCTGAAAAGGCCTGTGAGCAGAATGGCTGGCCTGCTGTGAGCAGAAGTCGATATTGTAAGTAAGATAGTCTCTCTACGACATACTACACTGCTGCTGGGTTTTCAGGGGGCAGGACAGCTCATCCTGACCCCAGCAGCACAAGGTGGCAGGTCGCTAATGAATAAGTGCTTTATGTTGTCCAGCTTCATTGCTGAGAGGGCAGCTGAGTCCTGTGCCCCTGCCTTAGTCTCACCATGGCCCCCTGTTTCAGCCGCTCAGCCATGGCAATGACCTTGGTACGCTCTGCTCAGTCTGCACCAGGCAGGATACCTGTCAGAAGACAGGTCTGGCTGCCCTGCCCCACCTCACCTCACACCTTTCCTGTTAGGGGGACTGCAGAGGCAGGCTTGGAGCATGTCCTCTGAAAACACAATCTGCCCTGTTCAGCACAGGGAATGCAGTTAATAACTGCATAACTATGTATTGTGTCAGATGGGTACTGAAAATATTGGGGGGGGGGCAGTTTTTGTAAAGTATATGGTGGTCTAACCACTGTGCTATACACCTGAAACCAATACAAAATAATATTGAAAGAAAAAAAAAAAGTGCACTGATACCATAGATGAATTGGAAATTTACTGATGTTCTTAAAAAAAAAAATTTTTTTTTTTGGAAATAGTTACCCAGTTTTACAGTTCAGCTTTAAGGATGCATAGGTTTTTAACAGGTCTAACATGTTTGGAAATGTTTTTAATCCTGTGTAACCAAGGCATTAATCTTAATAAACCAGAATCCATTTAGGTACCGCTTGATAAAATAAGATAACCCATGATGGATATTTTATACTCTCTCTTTTACATTAGCCACTGACTATGGCATTGTTCAATGCTGGCATCTCACAGAGTCCGATGAATTACAGAATTGAACTTGGCTACTCCAGGCCCAGGCCTGAAAGGGGCAGTTTCTCCAAAGCATAACCAGGCTCCTGCTTTTCAAAAGTATTTTCCCCGCTGAAGGACATTTGAGTGTGAGGGCAGCTGGCCCTTGGTCTGGGGAGGTCTGAATATCCTCTGAATTTCCATTTTCTTGCTTGCTGCTAAATGACAGTTCCTGTCACGATTTAGGTTGTGATCTTTCCCAAAGGTGTTGATTTACAAAGAGGCCAGCTAATTGCAGTAATCTCAAACCCTGAGAGAAAAAGGAAATTCAAACTGTAAGCCAAGCAGGGGCTGTCTGGACAGCTCATGTTCTTAAATATCGGCCATTCGGTAGACACACACACAACACACACACACACACACACACACACACACACACACACACACTTTTTAAAGTGTAATTTCATGGAGCTGTAAAAAGGCAATGAATTGTTTAAGGCCTATTTTTAAAGTTTTCCAGACCCAAAAGGAAAAAAAAAAAAAGAATATTTGTACTCAGCAACTAGAAGAATGACGAGGTGGATTTTTGTTTTTAAATGGAGAGAAGGGGATAGATAAGGCAATTTACTATATCAAACTGCAGTTGACATCTCCTAGGGAACAATGAAAACAGCAGGCTATTAGAAAATTGCTTCATATGGTTTTTGAGTTCTTTGCTCTTTTTGTTAAATCCCTGCAGACCACAATCAGGAACATAGCTTCTCATGTCTGTCCTCTAGACACTCCCCTTGCTTCCTTTTGCTTTCTGTGTCCTCTATAAGAAATCTTTTTTGAGCTTCCTAATGTACTTCTGCAACCTTAGAAAAAGATGGGCAGAATCTTTTATTGAAATCAAGACTGTCGCCCTCCAGCAAGGACCTGGCAATTTGGTGCCAGGCGGGTACCCTGAATGCTCAACGTACCCTAAGTGGGTGTTCACTCCAGAGGGGAGCTGTCACTCAGTCCCAACCAACTCCCGCTCCTCCTCCCATCCCCCAAATGTGGTTCCAGGTTTCCAACTCTTGGGATTCTTTAAGAGAAACTTGAAACCTGTGAAATGTCCCTATTTTAAAAAGTTGACGCAGTTATTTTTAAAACGTTATATAGGCCAACAGAACATGTCTACGGGCTGCCAGTTTGTTATGTCTTGAAGCAAGATCGTTGTTCTCTCACTGCTTCCCTGGTCTTCCCTTTGCAAACGTGCTTCCCAGCGTCACCACTGAGAACTTTATCACTATTGACTCTAGCACTAGGGATCTACTCGCCTCTGCCTTCTGCCAGCTGGATTCTGCCTGGGAAGTCCTTGCAGCAGAGTTTGCCCTTTATCTCTGATTGGCCCCACATCCATGTGGCCAAAGTCCTCCCCCTGCTTTGTTTGACGTGACTGCATTCACCAGTGTCTGTGCTGCCTGGCCCGCTCAGGTGCAGCCAAGTTCAGGGGAAAACACACAGCCCCGTTTCTCGGGTGTCTTTAGCATATCAGTGTGGCCGTTGATGAATGGAAAACAGCTGTCATCTTCATGAATCGCAGTTCAGGCCCTGTATCTTGACTCCAAGGCAGCTGAGAGTGACTGAGCGACTCCCACTGTCATCACTTGAGGTATCAGTCGAGGCCAAGAAGGTCCAGATCTCCACAGGAAGAATGAATCCCCACAGGCTTCAAAGATCACTCAGCGGTTTTCACTCCCAATCTCCAGCAGGGACCAGTTTCATTCTTGACCTATTTATTGACTGCTCTCCCCAAGAGTAGGGAGCCAAGATGGGACTTAAATGAGCCCAGCCCCTCCCACAGCACAGAGCAGAGTGTGCTTTGGACCCTACTCTTCACATCATTCTGTATTACAGCGCTCCGAGCCCCCCCCCCCCCCCCCCCCACAACCCTACCCTGCCCCTGTGAGGGCCCAAGCTCCTCCTCAGACAGAACAGAGGCCACGTTGTTCGACAGTTTGAGGGGCAAACAGCTCAAGGAGTTCAAGGCAAGAATTTAGTTCCCTGGCAAGTGTGATGGTCAGCATGATGGAGGTGCTCCTGCTGTCTCCCCTTCCTTTTCTCTTTATTTGCTTCAAATCCCTGACTTTTTCTTTCCCACACTTCTCCCTCCCTCCCTCCTTCTTCTCTCCTTCCCTTTCCCCTTCTCCTTCTTGCCCTGTCTTGCTCTCTCTATCTAGCATTCTAACTTGACTCCATGACAGACTGAGAGTTACTTTTTTTAAAAATTTAATTTTATTGATTATGGCCTCACATAATTGTCCTTATTCCCCCATTCCCATCCCAAACCCCTCCCTAGATATGCCCCCTCCCCAACCCCCGTTGTCCATGGCCACTGGCTAGGCCCATATGTATGCACACAAGTCCTTTAGTTGATCTCTTCCCCTTACCCCCATCCTCCCTTACTTTCCCTCTGAGTTTGAGAGTCTGATCGCTGCTTCTCTTTCTCTGGATCTGTTTATGTTGTTCATCATTTCCTCTAGATGTGTGAGATCATGTGATCCAAGAAATACCCTTGTAAGAACCTAAACTGCAACAAGCCATAATGGTTATTCTGAGAGGCACTTTTTATTTGCCTTTCTGGTTGCTTTCCATATACCTTTCTTAAAAATTTCATTTTGAAATGGAATCAAAGCGCTAAAGGGGATCTGAGCTAGCTCCTCCCCTCCTTCCCTCCATCGGAGGATGGTGACTTAGACTTCCTCCTGGTGTCTAGACTCCTCCCTGGCTTCCATCTGATCTGCTCACACACAGTAGAAGCTCAGCTCACCTTGTTTGGTCCTGACTGCAGACACAGAGGGAGGGCAGCCGATGTGAGCGACTCCACTATAGCTCAGGGTCTCCTCAGGTAGCTGCCCCCAGCCTGGTGGGCTGGGCCATGCCTTTCTAGTGGAGGTCTGTGGAGCCCATGGGGCTGTGCCAGTCTGCAGACTTGATTCCAAGGACACGGGACAGAAGCAGTCACCTGTGAAGGGTGCTCCGCTGTGTTCTCACCACCGGTGGTGCCTGAGGACTGCATCAGGCTTACTCAAGGGCACCTGGGAAGGTCAAGGGCTCTCCTGAATGGTTTAGGGATGTCATTTTCTGTCAGGTGCTGCCACAGTGAATTATCTTAACAGGATCTGCAACCCAGAAAGTGACATAAAACAGCTGTCACCAAAGGCAGCTTTCTACTCAAGCCAGTTCGTTTCCTTTTTTTTTCCTCTCTCTCTCTTCTGGGCCAAAGGCGTCTCCCAACCATGGGAGTTGGACGGTGAGAGCACTCTGAGTTTAATTCAGGCTAATATTGCAATGGAGCCTTGGGATAGTTATTGGTGGGCACCCAAGGTAGGTGGTTATTGGCTGTGTCTGGAGTCTGAGTTTTCATGAAAGAAAAAAAAAAAAGGCATGAGAAGGAAAGAAAAACACAATTTTTTTTCACCACTTTTAAGACAGTCCATTTATGAAGGCAGCATAAACACAAAATAGTAAGAAAGTCTACTCACAATGTAAATGTATGTCAAATCATCATGTTGTACTCTTTAAATATCTTTATTTGCCGATTATGCCCCAATAAAACTGACAGGGGGAAAATGGAAAAATAATAACAAGAGTTTCCAGAGAAAGACAGATCCTTGCGTGTCACTCCCAGTTCATGTTGGGGTCCATTGGGTATAATCCATAGGCGGCTGTGAGTCATTCCCATGCCCTGTTTTCCCCCTGCAATGTTCCAGGTTTTAAAGTCATGTTTCACATTTCCTGTAAATAGTGTATAATCATTTTTATTTTATTTTTAAGTGCTGTTTTAACATGTGGATAGATCATAAATGTACTTGCTGAATTCATTCTCTCTCTCTCTCTCTTTTTTTAACAAGCCAATAAAGTTTTATAATTCATCTCCATGTGTCTTGCATTCTCTCTAGGGCCTTGTATATGTCTGCTCTCTTCCTCAAGCATCCCCCATCACTATGTGTGTCCTTGGTGGTGTTCAAGAGGAGAGGTGTTAGAAGAAAGAGTATGAGAAACATCATAGAGAATTGGGAATGGGAGAGTCCCAAACCCATTATAGATTCTGGAATAAATCTCCCTCAAAAGAAGGACTTTCAAATTTCCCATTAATGTGAATTATACATTTATTGTTACTGATTCTTGACATGGGATATATTTTCATTTGGTTAAAAGGAAATACTAAATACACACACACACACACACACACACACACACAATGTTTAAGGAAATAAAAAAAAAAACCCTACATTCTATGGGAAAATCCTTTGGTATTTAAAAAATTTGGAATGACCCAGTCCCAGTGAGAGGACACATTTGGTGCTCTGCCCCTTCCTGCTAAAGGGCTTGGTGGTCAAATGAACTTGATGACTTGTGCTTTCATGGGAGGGGAGATTGAGGAAGACCAGTGGACGTAGAGATAAGATACTATGGAACTATAACTATTAAATGGTGCCCACACTTCACGTCCCTTTTATTTCCATCCTCCAGTGCCCCACACTGTCATTACTCATTTCTCCCCTCCCCCCACCCCTTTTTAAGATAGGACCTAAAAGTAAGGTTTGTAGGACCCCAGCCCTGATGCATTTGAGCTTGCCTCTGGTCACTTTGAAAGGGTTTTGCTCCAAATGCAAGTCTTGGGACTGGAAACTGATCCAGTGTGACCCACTGTCTTATGGAACCAAGTACACAGACCCTGTCTTAAGAGCCTGTTTAATGTTATTGACTTGTGCTTTTTTTTTTTTTTTTTTTTTTTTTTTGAAATGCCCTTCTCAGTTTGCCTTGCTGAGAACAGGTTTTGTGGGCCATTTGGAGGCCATATAATAATTTACGGCAGTAGGCTTTGGGTGCAGACTATTCAGGTTTGAAGCCAGCTTGCTGCAGCTAAATGAGTCATTTCACCCTTCCATTCCCATTTCCTCATTTGCACAATAGGGAATAGTAATGGTGCCTCCTCAGGAGGCTCTTATGAGAGTCAAGTGAGAAGGTCGGGGGAAAGCCCTTACTTAGCACACTGACTCTTTTTGTTGATACAACACTTTGAAGGACTCGGGTTTGCCCTGAGCATGGGTATGCCTCAGTGAGTGAATCCCACACAGATCCACTTGCATGTGTTGGTTATATGGCGGTTATGTGAGCACAACTAATGGAGTCCAAATGAAAGGGAATTCCACTCGCTGGGCAATTCTGGATGTGTCCACACTGTGAAGGCCACATTGGAGCTTTCCCAGGAGTTATCATTATGCTCCTAGACCCTTCTTTCTGCCCAGGTGATTCTTGTGCATTGGTAGAACCAATGTTCTACCTCAGACTTGATACTGATAAAATAATAGAATATGATTTGTTTGGGCTTGTATTGTGACCATACCATGAGTTTGAATGGTGCTCTGTATTTTGAGGATTCTAAAAGAAATAACATTGAGAGACATATCCCACTTATGGTCTGCCTCTTCTGTTCTCACTTTATCAATTCAGAGTTTTTAGTGATTTGAACTTTAACTTTAACATGTGGGTCCTCAATGTGAAAATATTTGGCTAAGAATAAAAGTAATGAATGAATTGGCGGGGGGATTGTTTGAAACAAAAGACTTGTTTCAAGTTCCCCCAAGGCTTAGAAACAACTGTTAACAGGCAATGAGTGACAAGTACCTGGATTTTTCTCTTCTGCTTCCTGAGGTAGTTTCTGGTCAAGGCTCCATTAAGCAACACACGATTGGCTTAGTTGGAACTACTTCATGTTGCAAGTAATAAAATTTTATTTCTTTAGTAATATTTTGTAATGTGTGCTTTTTTGTTGTGGTTATTAAATCTCTTTAAATAAGTGGCCTTGAAGTTTTACCAGCACTTAATTTAAGGTACTTTTAGTATTGTTAATACCTTTTCTAATACATTTTAAAGTGAGACTTTATCTAAGAGTTAACGGGTAATGATTTTCACTCTGTACCAAGAATACATGTTATGTTTTAAGTACTAAAACATATATTAATGTATTTATTCATTCCCTACAATCCTACGAGGATAATGATAATAGTGCTTCCATTTAAAGTGATAGTACACTGAGGAACAGAGTGACCAAGGACCTTCCTTCAGGTTACCTCGCCAATGAGGGGTAATCCCAGGGTTTGAATTCAGGCAGGCTGGCTCAAGTACCAGAGCGCAGAACAGCTACCTAGAGGGCTGGATCTTCGAGCAGGGCCAGGACTGTGGTGAGGCCAGCAGGTGCCTAGGACGCTCTCAAGGCCTTGCAAGTGCCCAGTGGCCACTCTTACCAGCACTGGTGATTGAGGAGAGATGATTGTTGTGGCAAAGCACAAATGTAAGGTGAACTTTAGTCACTCGGGTTTCATGTGCTGTCCAGGAAGTCCCTAGTTATGTCTGCTATTCACCAAGCCCTGCAGATCTTGACTTGCAGGTACTGGGAAGGTAGTGAAATTGTCACATGCTTTGAAAATTTTATCTTATGACAAAGAAGTTGCAGGAAGTATCTACTCAGTGCTAATTCTGTATAATAAAAAGATAATATGCAAATCAACCAGGCACTGACTACCAGAGGGCAGATGCTCAATGCAGGAGCTGGCCCCTGGTGGTCAGCCAGAAGCTGGGCTGACTGCTGGTGAGTGCAGTGACAGAGGAGGGAGCCTCTCCCGCCTCCACAGCAGCCCTAAGGATGTCTGACTGCGGTTTAGGCCCATTCTCCGCAAGGGCTCCTGGTCTGCTAAAGGGCACAGGCTGGGCTGAGGGACCCCATCCACCCAGTGCAGGATGTTGTGCACCAGGCCTCTAGTTAACTAATGAAAACCCAGAGCATGTTTGCTTTGTTCCTTGTAACTAAAGGCGGATGTGTTATTTTTGATCATTCTAAAGTGAATTTTCTTGTTGCTCCTGAACTTGAGTACTTCCTGTTCATTGGGAGCAGTCCTGACTCTCAGATGAGTGATGGCGAGGGAAAGCATTGGGTGGGGGCCGGGTGGGAGGAGTGCGGTGGAAGATTTGTTTGAGGACACATCCTGTCACCTGCATGAAGAGGATCCAGACATTGGAACAAGGCTGTGGAAAATGCCTGAGCAGCTCCTTGCCTCTGAAACACAAGGAGACAGAGCAGCATCTAAGTAGCTCAGTCACGTCCACGCTCCTGTCCCTGAATGTCCCGTCTGGCAGCTAGTGACTGAGAGAGACTGCCAAGGGCACCTACTAATTTTCCAATCAATGGGTCTCATCTCACACACCACAAGACCCCAGGGCTGTGTTTACTGAATTAAAATCTCTGCCTGACCATAAACTAATGAACAATAAGTTTTCTCCTTCCCTCCCATCTTTCAACATTTTTATTCTGTTTCCTGGGAGGCGAGGAGAAACCTCTTTTGTTATTCACCACCCTTCCCTTTCTTTTAAGTAATTCTCATCAAGTGGTAAGTTAGTCTTGCCAACTGGTCAAATAAAAGCGTAGGCCACAGCTGTTTGCTTTACAGATTAGAATGCAGCTTCAGGTAAGTCCTGCAATTTCACTAAAGACCCTGGAGCTTTGTGGGAGTAACAGTCGCCCTGCACTGTTTCACCTCTTGGGGGAGTTCTAGGTTTTAAATGAACTGAGCCATAGCCTGTGAGGGTGTTTCAGGCTTTGCAGAGATTAACTTCCTGGGCAGTTTTTTTTTTCTTTTTTTTTTTTTTTTTCTCTCTGCATTCATTAGGCTTCTGGATTCAAGAGAGGCCATCACCCTCCTTCACTAAAGGCTGTGGAACTGCCTGCCATGTTTTACTTTGGGGCTGGTAGCATGCTGGCTTCTCAGAGTTTGCACAGTGGGTTGACCAGCAGGTCTCGGTGGTGGACAGGAGACGAATATGGCTGCCCTGTTGCACACATGCAGACTCACCTCAAACAGGGCTCATCTCTCCACCACTGCAGTCTTTCAA